AAATTTTGAAAAGGGCCATTTGGGGAAAAAAAAAAAGGAAAAAAAAACCCCCTTTTTCCAGAAAAAAAGCTTGGGGGGAAACAATGATTCCCGAAAAAAAAAAATTTCCCGGGAAAACCCTTTTTTTTTGGGGGGATTTTTTTTTTTTCCCCCCAAAAAAAATTTTTTTAGAAGATAAATTCCCACGGGGGGGGGGGCCCCCCCCCCCCCCCAAAAAAATTTTGGGCCACCTTTTTTTTTTTTTGGGGGGCCCCCCCCCCCCCCCCCCCCCCCCAATTGTTGCATGTACCCCCCCCCCCCCCTCCCCCAATTGTGCAGGGAATACTGGAGCAGCGAGGGGACCCCGTGACAGCAAATGACGCCGTGCAGGAGCTCTTGGAGCGTGCCAGGCGGCTGTGCAGAGATCAGGAGAGCAAGAGGGCTGAGCTTGAGGCGAACTACCTCGAGTCCTTCAACCTTGCCAAGGAGAATGGGACAGGTACTGCTGTAGGCTGTAGGTAGCGGTAGCGTGGCATTATGAACGCTTGAGAGTGTTGTTGTGGTGACGTTCTACGTTGTTTTGCAAACCTGAGTTTTTACGGGTAAAGATTGCGGAAGCTGAAGTTGTGACCTTCATCTCCGACAGACGTTCTCGGGTGTGTGTGTAGCGCCACTTTCCACTCGCAGGTCCACACAGCTTTTGGAGTGCTCGAATCTGTTTACACTCGTCCCTCTGCGCAACACCTGCTAACTGGAGTGTCGTCCTGCTACCATGAGTGATGCTCTGCTGCGTTTCTCTGTAAGCAACGGCCGAGATGAAACTAACGGGAGTGAGAGACGGATCCATCCCCGTAGCTCCACAGTTTATTTGAGTGTACCTTTATAGGGTAAGTTAACCTGTGACCACGGGAATCGACCGCGTCGAGTGTTGGACCAGTACGGACATACGAAGGTACTGGGTAGAGAGAGATCGGAACGGTTTTTAATGTGAAGACAACAACAACACAACAACAACAACCCTTGACGTGGAAATATGAATATTTGGACTATATTAATACTGGTACGCATGTTTACGTTTGCCGTGACGCGTGTCCCCACCCGCCCCTCAAATAATGCATGCCCTTGTGACGTGGTGCACGCCGCAGACGACGCCGAAAAGCAGAACGCGATCAATCGCTTGACGAAGCTTATCCTAGAGTCGGAGAAGCTCGTACCCATGATGAAGGACAACGATCAACAGACCATGGCCATTGTTGTGAGTTGTTTCATGGGGTCATGAGTCCACGCTCTTGCATTTTGTGTCTTGTCATAACGAAGTTTGCACGTGATTGGTGTCCGTGCTTCCTACTTGTAGTAGTAGTAGCAGTATTTTCCAAGCAGCCCATACATTCGAAGCTGGATGGGACTACCATCGCGACTGCTGTGTTTGAAAATGTAGTCCTGTCCTGTTTTGATGCAAGCCTGTGCTGCCAGCAGACCTTGCACCCGTCTCGTCTATTACGCACTCCTTGCAGTTCGTGCTATTGTTCTAGTGGAGATGCGTGTGTCTATGCCTATGCACACAGACACTGAACGTGGTTCAACAATCTTGCGCCTCTCGTATGTAGCGACGTTCACGTGTCTTGCATTTGCTGCTGCGACAACTGCCATACTGTGTTGTATTGTATGCTTTGTATTGCAGTTGATGCGTTTGCATTTGTACAAATCTACTCATTGTAGTCGAACGATCTTTCTCTACTCACAACGACGTTCACGTGCCCGGCATTTGCTGCTGCGACAACTGCCCCTATGTACAATGTTGCATCTTAGATGGAGATCGCGAGAGCCAAGGCGTCGCTGTTGACCAACCTCCGGCGGCGCCTACGCGAGGTTTCCAGGCTGCAGACCGACATCGGGAAGATCCGGAAACACCAGGAACTCGTGGGAATGGCTTGGGGGCAGAAGGTGAGACCACTTCCCCTCCACCTCTAACGCCTTACAATGTACCATGGTTTCCGCAACTTTCTCGCACGGACAAGTCGCCTATGCTGCCTCGCCCAATTGCTACCACCGTGACAAAGGCTAGGCATGTGGGTGGGTTTTGTGGCGGAGCAGGAGGCTTTTTGTTTCCGAGCCGCCCGTATGCTCATGTATCTCAACTGCTGGTAGTACTGGCCGGATGTTGTACGGAAGCTGTAGATACGGTTGTTGCGCTTTTTTGCCTGTTTGCCGTTTTTGTGTGTTGTTGCCTTTGCACTACGGTCGCCATGGGCTCTACCGCATATCCATCGTCCAGCTTGGTGTTCCTGCCGGTCCCCGCCTTTTTTTTGCGTTTTTGCTTCTCCAAACGCTTTCGTCTTGTCTCTTTTAAGCCTTTTCTGTAGCCTTGTTCTTTGCTTGGTCGTCCCGTATCTCTCAACTTCGGGTTGACGCCTATTATAGCTCCTGTATGCCTTCCGTTGCCCATAGCTTGGTGTTTCTGCTTGTCGAAACACTTTGATTTTCCTCTTTTAGCTTTGTTCTTTGCCATCCTTGGTCGTCCCGTCTCTCTACTGCATGCCTTCCGTCTCTCTGCTGCATGCCTTACGCCTCTCTGCTGCATGCCTTTCGTCTCTCTGCTGTATGCCTTCCGTTGTCCATTGCGAACATGTTGCGGTGTGCGTGTTATGGCCTACCTACCTCTCAGGAAGAGCAGTTCGAGCACCTCGGGAAGGTGGCGAGGATGCCTGCTGCCTACAACGCCTTCCTTCGTGAGGTCTTACGGCAACGTCGGTTCCATCAGGTACCTCTCGCACCCTCGCAGCTTGCGGGGCTCGCCTTGCTGTATGAGGTTGCCTCCTTATTCCTACAGCATTCCTTTTCGGAAGAAGTGGCAAGAGACTTGTACGTCAGTTGAGGGCTGGCTTGTGGACACGGGACTGTACATGTGATGGTGGGGATGGGCTGGGTGTGACAGTACGGAGACTCTGTAACCGTTAGCCTTTTGGCATGATGACGTCATGGCGACCCGCAGCAACCCTCCGGTAAGCCCTTCTTGAGAAGTACCAGGTATTGGGCACAATCCGAACCACACCATTGCCATCGTTTCCGCCTTCTCCGCCTCCTGTTGTGATTTCACAACTTCTATTGTGATTTCTCAACTAATACTGTGATTTCCATCTTCTGTTGTGGTTTCACATCTTTTATTGTTTATGCCACAGGATTTCGAGGCGACAGTGTCGGACTTCTGCACCTCTGTGGCCGCTCTGCGATCGTCTGAAATGGTGTCGAGGCAGGAGTTCATCCAAGCACACCTTGGGAACCTCCCGCCCGCGTTCCTAGAGGTACGCGATTTCCTGCACTGTTCAACGGCAATTGACGTCTCTCTCGCATGCATCTGTCTGGGTGGTTTCGCGGCAGATCTGGCGTGCTAGCAAGAGTCTTAATGTTGCATCCTACAGTAGATGAGCTGAGGCTCCCTCTTTTGGTAATTGCTGCACTGCTGTTGTGTTCTACAGCAGGATGCTATTAATAGCTCTCTTGGCAATGCTCTACAGGCAAGCGCTGTTCGATGCCATTGTACAGCGCTGAAATAGTTGCCCCCCCCCGCCCTTGTCCACCACCAACGCACGATCCCCTCCTGTTTCTTGTCCGACTATTTTTCGACCACGACGCCCGCAGATGGCACCGGGCCTCCGCAACATGCCGCCGACCTTCAACCCCGGCCCGATCACGCCGCTGAGACCGGGAGAGCTCCCCGAAGTTTACCCCGACCCTGCTGCCGCCGGGGAAGACGAGGACGGTGGCGGCGAGTCGGCGATCAAGGAGGCGGGCGTAGCCGGTAGTGGTGCACGTAGCGTCACGCCCGAAGCGGCGGCAGCGGTAGTAGTGGCGGACACATGTGCAGCATCCGCGGTAGTGGCTACGGGGTCGGCTGCGATTTCCACGCAGACAACAGCGGCTGCGGTGGACGGGGCGGCCGTCTCCACGCAGACAGCGGCGGCGGCGGCGGTAGGTGGGGCGGCCGTCTCCACGCAGACAGCGGCGGCAGCGGTGGACGGGGCCGTCGTCTCCACGCAGACAGTGGCGGCGGCGGTGGACGGGGCCGCCGTCTCCACGCAGACAGCGGCGGCAGCGGTGGACGGGGCCGCCGTCTCCACGCAGACATCGGCGGCGGCAGTGGGCGGCGCGGCTGTCTCGACGCAGACGGCAGCGGCGAGCGGGGCGGCAGTCGGGACACAGACTGAGCGAGACGGGCTCCGACCTAGAAACGAGGGCGAGAGCGTGGTGGGTGATGGTGGCAGGGGGGGCATCGATGATGACGTTAGTAGAGGCACAGCAGACGTTGCGGCCGCAGAAAGCGTTGAGGCCCGCGGCGAGGGCAATGCACCGGTTAAACGCGTGGAGGAGCGAACAGCCGGCCCGGAGGTCGCCGTCGACAGGTCGATTTCCGCCCTGGAGGCAGAGAACGCTCGTCTCTCCGAAGAGCTCGCCAAGGCTCGATCGCGGCTCGAGGAGCTCGGTACCGCCGCTGCGGGAGAACCGGCGGGAGCACCGGCGCTAGAGTCAACTCCATCGGCGGCAGAGCTGGCGGCGATAGAGCCGGACCAACGTCCAGGAACGACTGCTGCTGCTGCTGCTGCTGCAGATGGTGGTGGTGGTGGTGGTGGTGGTGGTGGTGGTGGTGGTGTTGCTGTTGTCCCCGGTGCGGTGGAAGGAGAGGACCCAGCCCCGATGCCGAGAGGTGTGGGCGGCGAATTCGCACGGCCCCGACGCAGCTACAGCGACGTCGTGGTGAGCGGAACTGGCCGCAGGGAATCGGCACCTGCTGCCACCGCCGCCGCCGCAGCAGCCGCAGCAGGAGGAGGCGAGGTGCGCGGTACAGGCGGCCGGCGCGGGTCATCGAAGGAAACCAAGAACCAGTTAGCCGCGTACCGGGCCGGCCTGACAATGCTGGTCAAGTTGACCGACCAGCACAAACTTGCTGACCAGCAGCGTGGCGGCGCTGCGGTGGGTGTGGCGGCGGCGGCGGCGGCGGAAGTGGCATCGGCGGTACAGCCGGCGATGATCGAGGACCCGGCAGGAGGTACGAGGGCGACGGCAACTGCAAGAACGGTTGCTGCCGAGGACCCGGCCTCGCCGTCTTCCGACTACCATCCGTCGCCCGGTAGTGACCGCCCGTCACCCACGACTGCTGTGGACGGGCAGGCCACCGCCGGCGGCGGCGGTGATGTTGGTGGTGCGGCATCGCCGGACGCGAAAGAAGCGTCGGAGAGAGAGTCAACAACGGTCCCCGAGCGAGCTCAAGAAACACACCCAGCACCGGCAATAACAGCCGTAAAGGTAGACAAGGACCACGCCACAGCGAAGCCAGCGGCGGCAGAGGCCACGGCACCAGGAGAGGACAGGCAGGGGGGAGCGAGGCCGGCGGGAGAAGATTCATCTTCATCTCCCGACCACAAGGAAGCGGTGTCTCCCGAAAGGGAGGCGACGACCGCGGTAAGTACGGCGACCGGGGGCACCGCGGTGGAAACGGCGGGGGGGGGGCTGGTTGCAAGGCCATCGGCGTCTCTCGGAGGCGTCGAGCGGATAAGGCGCGCGGCGGACTACGTGGCAACTCATCTTCAGTACAACCATGTGAGGGCTGTTTTGCTTTTGTTTCCAGGTGGTTGTGACTGTGTCTTTGTTGCGGAAGAACGGATGATGGATGACCCTTGGAGATGAAAGCATGAGAGGGTGGTTTTGGCTTCATGTTGGTGATTGTCGTTGCGTTTGGACTGAGCGGGGTGGGAGGCGCTCACCCTCCTTGTCCGTGTGCCCATCCGGCAAGTCGTGTCGTGTCAAAACGATCTTGAGAACTCTTCTGCAAATGGCTAGCTTATCGCTATCGTTATATGTGCCCTGCAACAAAGATCCACACGCACCTTTCATCCCTTCGTCGATACACTTGCTGACGAACGGAGTCTCGTACACGGGCTGGAAGCAGGAAAATCACAGCCTGGTCTTGTCTTGGGCGCTGCTCTTGTTGTATTGACGGGGGCGTAAAGTTGGCTGGCCGAGGCACTGCAACCGGGTAGGTTGCACTCGTACCATCTTTTTCCCGAGTTGGCCTGCTTCTTGAGGAACTTGCCTGTCTTTCACTCCGCATCGAGTCAATATAGTTGATGTGGTCAGTTCGCCCACGACCTTGTAGGTTGATGCTCCTCTCCCTCACTCACCAAGGCTTCGAGCTTGGCTGGGTGGGGTCTTGTAGATCGTGGCTGCAATCCTGGTGGCCAAGGTTGTTCAAGGAGTGGTTCTGGCGCCAGGACCATGCCTTGAACAACCCTGGCGACCAGAATCACAGCCACGATCTGTAAGACGCAATCTGCCAATCTCGAAGCCTTGGTGAGTGAGGAAGAGGCGCATCAATCTGTAAGGTCGTGGGCGAACTGACCACATCAACTATATTGACTCGATGCGGAGTGAAAGAAAAGAAGTTCCTCAAGAAGCAGGGCAAGTCGGGAAATAGGCGGTACTGTACGAGTGTAACGTACCCGGTTGAAGTTCCTCGGCCAGTCAACTTTACAACTTTACACCCCCGCCATTATAACAAGAGCAGCGCCCAAGACAAGGCAGCGCTGTGCCTTTCCTGCTTTTAGCCCGTACACGAGACTCTGTCCGTTGGCAAGTGTACTGTATCGACGAAGAGAAGAACGTGCGTGTGGATCTTTGCACTTGACTAGAGCAGTGTGTGTCTCTGGCTATGTAGTGTGTGGCTTATCCTTACTGGTAGTACGTGTGACAACGACGTGCTTTTTGGTACATGGTAGTCGCTTTCGTTGGGTTGGGTGACCCGTGCTCCAAATGCGCATTTTTTAACTTCAACCTTGGCATGATATCACGTATGTCAGACGATTCTTTTTTCGAGGCCTCTATCTCGTTAGTGTGTCTCTGACGCATGATGCCGCCCTCTTAATGAAGCCTCATGCGTTAAACTACGGCTACACATTGTAGGTGTACGTACTGTGGTGAACACTTCGTGTCCCCTCCTCCGACAACTACAACGAGGGTGTGTGTATGTTCATATGCCACCTAGAAACTACAACTGAAACTTTTCCATGAACACCCCCGTTTGATTGCTGTTTGGAGAAAGCCGCGAAAGAGTGCGCGGCACCAGAGACTTGTCGTTACTGCCGCACCCCCCCCTCCATACACCTCGCCGAACACCACGCTGATGCCCCCCCCCCCCCCATCCCTCTTGCCCCCGGCGGCATGTCGTTTTTGTGCACGCTGCCTCTGCCTCTGCACGTGCTGTACCGATGATGACCACGACGACGCCGACATGGCAGGCTCTAGCTGCCGTACCGCGAATCTCGATGTGCTCTTTCAGCGTACAGGTATGATATGTGCAGCATCGATTGAGGTGGTAGTGCGGTCTCTGTCTAGACGCCTCGACTTGATGCCTGTCGGCTAACGGTTGATGATGATCGATCGCCTCATGCCTCATTAATCATGACCTCCCGGCCCCGAGAGCTCCTCGGGCGAACCATGCGAATCGTGCCTAGTAGCCTGTTTCGTGGTACTGCACGGTGCAAGGGTCTCAAGCACATAACGCACGACTATCTCTCTCACAGCGATCGAACCAGACTACGTCTACAATAGTTTCCGTCTAAACCCATTGCCGCCGGAAGAGTCAAGTCAGGGGTACAGAACCCCACCACAACCCTTCCAGTCGATTTTACTTGCGGTATAGCAGTACCGTTTGAATCCGACTGCTGTAGAAGAGTTTGTTTACCCGGGCAGCTTGGTCATGGCGTCATTACTTGCAGCGAGAGAGCTCACGACCACGACCCCCCCCCCCCCCCCCCTTCATGGGCGGCGTCGGGGGCGAAATCTATATCCCGGAAATCCCTCTGTTCTTGGCGAATAAGGGGGGATCTCCCGAAGGGTCGTCGGGGGGGCCCGTGGTTCTGGGGTTCCACGTTAACTGGCCGAACCGGTACTTGTCCGAGGATAGCATCAACAATGCCCGCGAGGCGTTGGGTGCTTCTCCGGCGTACATATTGGGCCGCATCATCCTGGTCGAGCAGCACGTGGCCTCTGAGGTGAGTCGAGTCACCATGGGAGGGGGGGGGGGTGTACCCACGTAAATGCATGCCGTAGTCACTAGGTTATTGGCGTCGCATGCCGAGACGGAGCGTTTGGCTTACGATTTCGTGGAATTTCGCGGGTGGTTGGTAACCTTAAGCTGTCTGTCGCCCAAATTATCTTGAAGAAAGGGACAAGAGGTAATACTTTCCCCTAAGTATGCGTCTGGAGCTGATTCTGTCCTCAAGATTTGGTGATGGTGAGGTCGATGCGTTGGGCTCGCCACGACATGTGACTTAATTCTGTCATAGCTCACCGGATACGGAGACCCCAAAGCCAACGAGATGCCCGTCTGATTCCTTTTGCGCTTTCCCCTCTCGCCGCGGCCTGTGCGTGCCTTTCTGCGTGTGTGTATGCCACGAAACAGGAGCCCAACCCGTACAACGTTGCTCCGAATACGGTGTACTACGTCCTCACCGCAGAAAACGTCGGCTAGAAAGATGAGGCCAAGGTCTTGTCACGGCCAGCAAGGGGCACGAAGAAAGGGGGACATTCAGATTGTAATATCTAGTGGGGTCGGGGGGTCGGGTTTTTGTTCAAGGAGGGGAAAGATTGATTGCTATTGTAGTTTCCACCGCCGGCTCGCCCTTGTGCCGGGCACGATTAACGGCCCATCCACGGCGCACATGAGCGCAGCCCCGGCATCGAGAGCCCCAGGAGGGGGCGTTATTCTGCATGGGGTCGATATCCATCCCCATCCCCACCCCCAGTAGTCGCCCCCCCATTGGCAGGAGTGGATCGCTCGAATCGGCCACAGACGGCTGCTTGTCGTTGTCAAGGGCACTGCTGTGTGGTCTTGGTTGCCTTGACGGTGTCTGTGTCGGTGTTGGTGGTAGTGTTCGTCTTGTTTGGATTCCCGCTCGTGTAGGTTTTTCACCCATCGGCCGACCCAGTCGATCGCTCTGTTTTTTGGTTGTTGCACCCCGCGATGATAGTGACTTGTGTAGCTGTCTCCCGGTGTGAGTAAGTGGTTGCGTTCTGTGTATCTACTCTTTGTGTGTTTCCGGTGTTGCGACAATGCTTCCAAGTACTTGGTAGCAGGCGACCCCCACTACTAGTACCGGCTGTGGTATCGCTTGCTCCGTTTCCCCCGTCCTCCGGGAGGGGTATGGTTTTGGTGGAGTCAAAGTTGACGCGCGAAAAAGTTGAATACTGCCTGGATCGCACAACGGTGATGATCTAGGTGATACGAGTGGTTCACCGGTTGAGACGGCGCGCTAAAACGAGTTGGTTGTCTATTCGTTTTCCGGCCCTGTGCCCCCCCCCCCCCGCCAAGTCTGCGCTACGGTACCCTTCGGTGGTTGGATGACGTCGATAGAGCCGGAGGTTTCCACCGTGGATGTGGATGTTTGTCGTACCGTTTCGTCCCTACTTGTTTTTCCTCGTGGATGGCGGTTATAGTTTCTAGAGCTGTAACAGAACGTACGTGCGGTTGTACCGCCGTTTCTGTTTTCTGTGTGGCTGCTGGTGGCGCAGAGACCTCGTGGGCTCGCGCTGCACGGCAAGTCGAAAAATCGCGTCGCCTCGTTGGAAACAATCAAATCAATGCAGCACGACTATCCATGTATTCAGGATACAACCGCTGATGACAGCAGTGCTTGAAAACCACGCACACACGCACCCAACATCGTCATACGGACTTGTTGTGTTGTCTGGTGTGCTGAGAAGGTTAAGAATTGCTGTCATCGTGTGCACGTGGTTGGAGGACGCTCAATCGACCGTGCAAGGTGCGAGCGTTGGCCCGCTATTTATGACGCGGGCGGGCATGTCGTCTTGAAATGGGGGTCCCCGAGAAGATCGTTGTCCCTGTTTTTGTCTAGACCGTCGCGTTCTTCCCGAAAAACCCTCGCACGACGGCGCCCCTCCCTGCTGACTGACAAGCCTACTTACCAGCGGCGGTTTGAAATGCACCAACAGCATCCCATGGACGATGCCGCTGTACGAGTTTCTCGGCAGTGGCGACGCAACGTGTACTACAGCAGTATACTGCTGTACGGGACCAAGCCAGGCAGCGAATTGCCACACTTAATTCTATACAGCAGTAGTGTGTTTCTCTTCCTTCGCAGGCACGTGTGAAAATGATTCTTTTTGGAAACTTTCGGGCTCGGAATATCCTGTGTCGCTGAAGCAGGCCCCAAGGCAAATGCCAACTGCGGCACGTCGACGTCGTTCTCTCAGCTGAACGAACCCTTCCGGTCGGTGACGGAGACTCCATAATTTGACGATCGATACACCTTCACTTCCTTCAGTTTCAACGAATATTGGCCTGGAAGTCGCTGGAAGCAGAAGAAATTATTGCACCTCAAACACGGAACCATGGAATGAAATTGAGTAAGTGTTCTATTGTGCATCAATCAATGAGGACGAAACGCAGAGAGAGCCCGTTGCTCCACTTAGAGGGTGAACCGTAGATATGTAGACAGGGTGTCCACAAACAGAACACCACAAGAACCTCCGCTTGCGGTATGTACACTGACCTCTGGAGAAGCTACATATACGGACCCCCCCGTCCCTACGGAGCCAGGGAGCGCGCATCATCATCGTGATTTGTTTACTACTGTACGTAGGCCCACCGAGGCCAACCCCGCCCCAAACGCTCCCTGTGGAGGTCTCCACGGAGGCGCGAGAAGGGATGGATGAAAACATCCGCACGCTCGAAGGTATTATTATTTTTGAGAGTTGGGAGGGGCGATGGCAATTTACAGGTGGTATGGATTTTTGTGAAGAAACCAACAGCAACATCAACAACAACAACAGCGACGGTACGTACGTCCGGTGCAGTTAGTTCTATCGGGACGAATTTGCGCAGCAGGTTTCTGAATGAACCAGCTGTAGGCAGCCAAGAGAGAAAACCACGACGAAATAAACAAAGTATTTGAGAAGTCATGTCCAGATCCCACCTGCATAACATCGAGGCAAAGCTCTCATAGCTCAGTTGGTTAGAGCGTGCGCTTAGTAAGCGCAAGGTCCGTGGTTCAACTCCGCGTGGGAGCTTCTTTTTTTCCTGGCTTCAATCTACACAGCAGTGTGGGTGATTGAAGCAATTGAAGCCTTACCAGGTATTTGTTTTTTTTCAGGGCTTCGACAAGATACAAGGAAGGATAGAATCATGCGCGCGAGTGCAATGGTGTATTATTGCTGGGTGATTTTTTGCACATTATTTTTATTTACACTTGTTTTTTTTACTTTGCCGCCTCGCGTTTCGGGTGGGAACGATGGGCTGGCTCAGAACAGATTGTTGACTCTTGCGCTTACAGCGGTGCAAGATAAATTTCACTCGCTCGCGATAGGCCGGGTTATCTATCCCGTGTGTGGCAATGTTCACGATCCCCCGGCTTTGATGAGAAGCCTCCTCGTGTTGCTTGATGGCTCGGCTTCCCTCCTGACCGTTGCAGGTTTCGCGCATGGCATGCCAATGTATATGTGAGAATCGGTTCTTCTGTGCGTTAGTTAGTCCTCTCCAGGTCGCTGCATTGCCACGCACTTGCTGTGAGCGTTGAGAAAACCAGCGCTCATTTCCATTTTCACGTGGTGGACGTTTTTGTTCGTTTGGTTTCACGTGTGCACTACTTCTCCGCGGCACGTGTTCTGAGGTCCAGCCCACTAACAGGCCCGGTTTGGTCCACGGCATGGCTTCCTTCCCGGCTTCCCTCGTGACCGTCACACATTGCCACTCATGTATGTACCGATGATGTGTGCAGGGTCTCTGTCTACCCACTCTCGCCCGCGCATGTCCACCCTACTCTTCTCCCGGTCTCCTCGCCCGTTTCTATTTCGGCCTTCCACCGAGAGATAATACAATAGACACACAACGGTGTTCATAACGATCTTCTTTGCGTCTGTCTGTACCTGACGGACGGATTCATTCCTCCCCTTGACAAAAACTGTTGCGTTCGTTGCTGTTGTGATCATATCGATCGTTGTCGCCGTAGCCTTCACATGTAAACCTCGTGCCGGAATTCGCTCGGTAGGTTCAAAGATCTCATACCGGTCCAAATGACGCAGGCGCCTTACTCGTTACCGGCCCAACGGGAACGTACATCGAAACCATCAATGACAAAGAGGCGCGAAGTTACAGAAAAATCGCCACAAAAAACGCGATAAGTCGAATACAAGACACATTAAAAAGACGATCGATCGAACATCTTCAATCAAGGCATTAAGAGATACGACGGAGGAGGTCTAGGCCGGGCTGCTATATCCACCACAGGGGTTGCACCGGTCACGTCGTTGCCCACGCATCCTTCAAGATGAAATGGGCAAACGGTCAAGACATCGGCAATATCTGAACGTTCCGCATTGAAAGGCATACAAGTCACTGGCTACCTCCCACGCCCAAACTGTGCGGGAAATTTTCCACGTCCGGTTCTCGCCAGCCAGGGTCACCCACGTCGTACACAGACACATCTACGAGCCAAATACGCATGCGTACAAATCGGGAAAAATGACAGACACAAATGCGCGGGGAAACGTGTACATATGCATGTATGTGCACAATCAAGCGTGCCATCCCCAAACGCGAGTCCAGCTCTGCAGAGGCTGAGCCTTTCTGCTGGATAAGAACCTTCAAACCGGCGCTTGCCAACCTTTGTGGGACCGGTGGAACTCAATGTTTTCATGCCGCTCAACCAACCCAATCAGACAAAGTGTAAACACCCATATACTCCTCAGTTTGTGCCTCGCATTGAATGCCAAACGCAGAACAAGACTAAATAGGTATGGTTTCCAATCTACCCACCACATTGTTCTTCCCCCAAGTCCCCATCAAGCTCGACTTAAATGGGCGATCGATGTGGTACGTACATGTTTTCGTGAAGCTACATACAAACAAGATCAGAGAGGGATCGATCTCTCTTAACCTATCACCCACCATTATCATCGCACACCACTACCGTATGGGCATGACGTCAACAATTTGTTTTTGGATATTGAACCTACGACAACGGAAAGCGTACCTACCAGTGCCGATGTCAACCCGTGATCGCCCACACTCCCCGTGCTCCTCCATCATCACTCAGTATTGCCTACGCTGTTTGGAGGGGCGCCAGGTGGTGAGAACAAAGACCTCCGAAGCCTTCGCCTCAACGTGCCGGCCTCTCTCTCTCGTGCATTTCGAGAAATCGGCCGTTGAATTTCGATCGGGCGGGCACCCCTGCGAGAACTACGCTCATGGTACGCGTATCAAGCAACTATGGCTGCATGAAAAGGCCCACACCTTGCACTAACAACACTTGCTGTCGGTAATTCGAGCCTACTGGGGGGTCGTAGAGGCGCCAATGGTCTCACATGCTGCACAGGCGCCGATGCTGGACTCACATCTTGCACAGGAGGTGCCGATGGCCTCAGATCGTGCACAGGCCCCAACCGTGTCACGAAAATGACGTTGTGTGCTGTTGAGAAACTCGCGCTCGAGCTGGCGGCCGACCCTGCCGATTCCCCACTCGCACTCGCAACACATTTTGTAGATGCAACACCCACAGTAACACGAGGATATCGCAGATATACTAAACCCGATGAGAGCCCCGCTGCCGGAGCTCGCATCGTCGTCGGCCAAACCCCCGTTCTCGTCGAGAGTCACGTAGATATACAGTAGGTCTGCAATATTGGCGTTGATTGGGGTCGGGGGGCGGGCGGGCGGGTGGCGGCATGCTTGCCGCCGTGAATCGGTGAGCTTGACAAGGGATTGGGCAATTTCAACGTGACATACGCGTTTGTGACACATGCGTTTGATGTTTGAACTGCGAGTAACAGGGAGGAAGTAATTGGTAGAATTTCAACGTGACATACGCGTTTGTGACACATGCGTTTGATGTTTGAACTGCGAGTAACAGGAAGGAAGGAATTGGTAGAACATGCGACATACAGAGCGTTGCAAAGGTCACACCTCACAATTTTCACCGGAGGAAGGACTGCTGCTCAGCTGGAAAAACTAACAGTCTTAAAAAAAAAAACATATTGAGCCAACCTCAAGCGAAGATCTTGCGGAGCCACAATGCTTCGGCTCCGCCACCGTTTCACCGTTGTACACAAATCAGTAACGTTCAAGCGTTTTACGGGGTATGCCATGGGCAGTGCCGATGTCCGTCCCGGTTCGAAAGCAATGCAGGCGATCCCAAGACTGAGATATGCTGCGATGTTCGCCGATGAAGGAAATCAATCACTTGGTACGTTCGTAAGTGCTTAGGGCCTCGTCGGCAGAGCATGCCAAACGCAAGCACGGGCGTTAACTCCCCACACTCCTCAGCAGCATCATTGGTTCTCTTGAGAATAGTTCGGTAGTAAATTTTACCGGAAGTTGGAAAAGTTATCTGGGGCGGAAAAGCTCTTGAACCAACCTCAAGCAAGGACGTTGCCGGCAACTGTGTTCTTTCTGCGCCAAACGCACCAAACACAGGCAAGGTAGAAACTCCCCGAACTCCTCATCGATACTTTTGGTTCCCTTGAGTATCGTATGGAAATTCACCTGAAACGTTGTATGCCATCCAAAGAAATCGAACAGTACATACCAGAACAACAGCAAGCAGGTACATGTGAAAGCTGACGTTAGATAAACTATTCACCAACAGAGGCATGGTATGTGTGAGCACCACCGTTGGTTAATAGTGTATTCACTGGGGGGGGGGGACTTGAGGAGTACCCGAGCTGCGCTTTGCAGTTTTGGGAAGCGTATGATTGGAGTGGTTTGAAAGGCGCCGCTCCTTCTTCGTACTACCCTCCATTTCAGGGGAGATGTCCCACTGTGGAGTTGCTTCCCCCTCCTGGAGTGTTGATGTGATGCACATCTCAACTGTTTTCCGTTCAGTTTCTCTTACCGCCCCCCCTCCTGGAGTGTTTCCGTGATGCGCATCTCAACTGAGTTTTCCATTCAGTTTCTCTTACCGTCCGCCTGCTTTGGCTCCTCATGATGTGTATCGGATTGTGCTTTCGAACCGTGTCGCAGTTTGTCGGACAGATATGGCTTCTTGTTCAGTCAATCATCTCACCTCGCGAATGCCCACCCATTCTCCGCAGGGAAGGTCGGCGTCGATCCTGACGGCTGTTGCCGTGGGGGACTGGCTGCAGAAACACCTCCAGTTCTTCGCCCGAGTTTTCGTTCAAGAACCTGTAAGGAGTCCAAGACGAGTGCCGCACTTGTCCCACCAACCCAATGACCTGAGGGACAAAATCTCTTTCGTCGACGTCGGTGACCGAGTGCAGGGTGGAAACTATCACGTCGAAGCCTACCTCGACGGGCGAAAAGGCTTCTCGCCCACCGTGGTTCGTCGTCGATACCGAACTGAAAGGCGCCAACAGCATCAACAGGGACCGTGGGGCAGGGAAAGAAGGTACCATAAATATTATTATTGTAGGTTGACATGCCTGGGTGAAGCAAAGATGATGCAGAATCCCGTTTTCGCGAAACAAAGGAGTTATACTGGTGAGCTACATGCTCCACTAGCCTTACATTGTGCGGTTTGCAGTACACCAGAGATGGGGGGGTGTTGAAACGCTTGTAGCGGTACTGTTGAGCCACAAAGCTATGTATGCCAATGAAATTAGGGGAAACGTCAGACAAACGAACGCCGCAGCACGGTACTTGTTTGCGCTTAACGTTCAAAGCAGGAACACCATGTGTCTTAACCCGCCTTCGTGTCTTAGAGGTGGTCCGTTCATAGGTGAGGTGGTTATATGTAGTGTGAGAGATCATACAGGATGCGTAGTGTAAAATGAGCGTCATAGTATCGGCGACACATTGTTTGCAAAGACAGGCGAAACGATGTCAAGAGAGGCAGGTACCCATCGGCCAAGAGGAAGATCGGGTGTCTGTTTCCCGCCGACGGAACGACGAGTGGTCTGCGAGGGCGTTTGTCATCGGTATCAATCATGTTGATCATTTGTTGTGTTGTTATTGCTACCTTATGTAGCTTTCACGATGATTGACAAGAACGACCATCATCACATGATGAATTCTCCTGGCACAAGATTGATGATGTGGTCCAAACGGTATTCAGCGTTATAAGTACAGCAGCAGGACTAACGAGCTGTCCGGAAGAGCTTCGTTGCCGACGGCATGTAGCCGTGTCAGCCCTGGTCTTGACACTAAGTGCTTTATCGTATGCATAGTGTTCAACTATGTAGACTAATTCCATGCGCTTCCCTCCCATGCGCGTTCGGAGGAACAGGAGGAAGCGCGTTTTACGCTCAGCGATGCCAATTCTCACACGAAAAAATGTGGACAACAACGAACCATTGGTATGTCGGATACCAAACCTCCGGCGGCTTATGGACTCGGGATACATATCTTGGAATCAATGTGGGTTCCAATGGGCTTGAGATCTGTGGAAGCTGTGAACACGGGTAAGGTTGTCAATCTTGGTTGAACGCTGGCTACCTCCATCCAGTAGCTGAGAGAATCACCAATTAATTGCCACCCCCGCCAACAATGCCAACGTTTACACCATGCTCGAGTGGACTGTGTAGCCCACAGTCTCCAAGACGAAGAAAGAAGGCGGCACTCACACACGTTGAGGCTATCAGACAACGTCCCTATCTATCTGTTATCTGCTACAACCACTACACTACGTGGTGGTATTTGCGGCCTTTAGAGGGTAGAGATGCGGCGCAACCACGGACACAAGCATCTCGGAAATTTCCGCGGAAAAGCGGTCCCTGCTCGCCTCATCATTATATATGCATACCTATATTCCTTTTTGGAAATATCGTCCGCGTGCCCCCTATCTGACATCTGACCCCACACCTTCAACCCTCTCAACCTCAGCACTTCTCCCGACAACACACCAGCAGCCGTATATCACCAGCCGTAGCAGTCAAAATGGCGTGGACGAAGCAGACTTTCATCGACCCGCCTACGCTGAAGACCCCGTTGGCTCTTTTACTTTTCATCGTCAACATCTTCCTCCCAGGCAAGTCTGAGTCCGTTGCCTCTTTTGGCACAAGTTATATATCACTGCTCTCTCATCGTCACGGCACTCGCCAACAGCAGTCCACTCGCGTTTTGGTGATCCCACCACAATGTTGATTACGTTTATGTTCTCCCGCTTTTTTCTCCCAAGTGTCAGCATGCGTTCACGCGGTGTGTGCATCGTTCTCCCGAAATTTTTGACAAGTGTGCCTGCTGAAGAGAGCCAGTAGCATTGTCACGACGAAACGCGTGTGCACATGACCCCGTGTTCATGTGCATCACGAGGGCTATCTTATCGCATTCCTACCAACTAGGCGGCCACCACATCGGGGTTGAATGCAAGGCAAACGCTAGCCCGTCTGTCCCTCTTTCCGATTCGGGTGTCGTTGACAATTGCTGTGGATGCATGCATCACGTGCCACGAATCTTGTGTGTGACAAAAACAGCACGGCAACAACTGACTGCACCAGTAACCATTATATTAATAATTAAAAATAGTTTGCGGGTACGGAGGGTTATTTGCAGCTCTCGCTTGTGTGCCGCCAACACTCATGGCCCATACCTCGACTACTCATAGTCGCGGCCACTATCACATCGCACATTTCCCCGAACTCGGCGTATGTGGTTTCCCCGCTCTACAATACTCCCCGCTTTACAATGCAGTACTGGGCCCTCTGTTAGTGCCAGTATACACCCCCGGAGATTGTACTACCGGCACTACATATTCGAAATAATGCCTGAATAGCGAATAGTGCCAAAACCGGCACTCTTCAGGGTCTGAAAATCCCTCAATAGTGCCGGTCGGACACTATTATTGAGGAGAAATGTGTGATTTCAGAGTGGAGCGCTTACGATTTGCGGGGCCAACAGGGGCCTCATTGTTGAACGTAAATGGTGAGATCACGGCATGGGCGGCGCGGGGAGACTGTACCACGATGGGAGTGGTTCCTACCCTGCCGAACACACAGATTTTGCTGTAGCAAGTTAACTGGACGGGGCACACATGTTGCGCCGTGTTGCTCTACCCGCCTCAGCACACGTACTGCAAACGGTTCGATTGAACCCTTCACATGAGTATCACGAAGAAAGGATGTGTCATACAAGTAGTTCACAGCTATTCAATGTTTTGTGGGCAACAAGGCCGTGGCACTGGCCTTACCCGGATCAAACCAATTCGCCCAACCTAAATAGCACTCCTCGACAGCGAAAGGGAGACACTCATGCACGCGATGCATATTTGGCATGACGCAGTCTGTGAAGCTCGCTGTCGCCAAACACGCTTCCGCATTGATTCGCCGTGGAGGCGCCCGCCGCATCCCCCCTGGCAGACTTTCCTGTACCACGATATATATGTGGCACAGTATAGTAGTTCACCTTCCGCACATGACATGGTGCGCCTCTGCTTGGGTCTGCAGCAGCACACACCCTTTTTTCCGTGTGACGTATGTCTTCTATGTTGCTTTGTGTGTGTGCTTTTTTGTGCTCTTTGAAGTATCGACCGCGCTGCAAACATCACCGGCTAGCCAACAACAGATGTAAGTAGTCTCAGTGCGGTTGAAAACACAAAATGCTTCTTAGGCCGCGATCTGGAACTCTGTGAGGGAGCGTCATGGGGGAGTTTATGCTACTCTATCCGGATTGAAGACAGATACCGTAGTAACAACGAAAGAAGAAAACTGCACGTGATTTTGGACGCGCGTTCGTTTCGGCTTGATTTCTTCATCGTCCTACCTCGCTGTCTGTTTTTCTTGCTTGTGTCGACCGCGCTATCCGGCGTACCAATGAAAAGACGTCAGTCTCAGTGCGGTGGAAAACACAAAATGCTTCTAAATGCCACGATCTTGGACCCTGTGAACGTGCGTGCATGCGTCAGCCGGCACTAAATCAGCAGTTGGCACTATTCGACCGGCAATATAGAGGGCCCAGTACTGTACTCTGAATTGTTTAGTGCATTCACACTGCTCGTCCCAAACGTGCTGGCACCATTCCCCCGCAGCAGACGCTGAGTGTTTTTTTAGCGATGCCTATCCCGAACACCACCAACATCCGACTCTCTCTAACGCTGCTGCTCCTGCTGGAACAACAGGCGTAGGGACGATCATCGTCGGTGCTCTGTCGTGCAGCTGTGAGACTCTCATAGTGGGCTTGCTGCAGCTCTTCACGTCCTGCATCATTGTCGGCTGGGTGTGGTCCATCTGGTGGGGGTGGGAACTCCTTGAGGTGTGTGGGATTATTTTATTTTCTTGTGCAGCAGATCTAGAGGCATGGTGGGATTCGAGTGAAATAAGTCGGTGCATGGAGCACTATTTTACCATGCAGCGTCAGCGGTGACGAAGATTTGTTGAGCAATTGACTGCAAGAGCGAGCACAGCAGGCTTTACGTTGCACCTTCGAGAAGCAAAGCAACATATTTCAGAGTCTACACGGTAAAGCGAAGATTGCCCCTTCTCATTGCAGAGTACATAACACTGCCGGAGATAAGAAATGTCAATAGTCGGCGGAGGCTGAGTTTCATATCTCATCGTCACTGCCGAGCGCAGGTTGTTTGACAGAGTTTGGTCCATAGGTTCTACCACCGATTCTGTGTTATTTTATTTTTTATCGTGAAAATTTATAATTTTGGACCTCTGTTGACGTGTCAACGAACTACCAAAGTCGTTGCTGCGAGAGCCCGTTTCTGTAAATAACCCCCCCTCCGAGCATTCTGCTCTTTTAACTCCTGTAGTTCGCACCAACAATAATGACTCTGACCTTTCTGCTGTTTGCCCCCAATTTCACCCGATATATAGGTGTCGAGACAGGCAAAGGGCGTCAAGATGCCTTCCGATAGCAACGTCGGGGAGGATGGTTTGCTGTAATCTGATTGGCTGGTTCGTCTTGTTTTCTGGGGATGGGACGCGCTATAGCTTCGGATAAGCGCCTTTGCAGGTGCTGGACAGCAGGCCGATGAAGTTTTGCCGAAGCCGTATGACGGTAAAAAATACGAAATATGCGTGTACCAGTACATAGCCTTGTGGGTTTTCTCATTTGCCGAGTCAACGGCGACTGTTCCTCAAGTGTGTTCGGTTGGTTCCCTCCGGACCATTTCTATGTTTGCCATCGTCATTCATGTGCACAGCTGCAACACACACCGGCGGAACGGAACACTTTAAGGTTGTCCTCGGAACCGTTTTCTCGAGCTACGTTGTTGCGGTCGGGAGGGAATAGCCAAAGTAAAGTCTCGGGAGTTATTAGTTGATAATTACATAGTACTTAATTTTGCGGGGTTCCCTCAGCCCTCGAGCTTTTGGCAGGGCCTTTGTTCGTAAGGGGACAAGAAAGCTTGCCAACGTTCGTCACACTGTTAATATATGACATTTTTTATTGCTGTACTGTAACGTTCTTTTACCTTTCATAGTGTTGGCACTGTTTTTTTTTCGTCCTTTTTTTGGTGGTGGTGGTGTGCGCATGACAACAGAAGGTTGCTTTGCAGAGCGTGATTCGTCGAGAAGTCCACCGCGATCCTGCGTGAAAGAATCGTATGCATGGAGAAATCTGTCTCACGGTCGCTGAACACTGTTTGGTGTGTCCAATACGTTTACGGTACTGCACCTAAGATCGTAGGCATACCATGCCATATTTCTTTGCCACAGAAATTACGTGTGGCTCATTCCAACAGGGCCGCACATGGCGTTGACGTGAAGGTCATGCTCGCAGCCTAAGCGTGTTCCGGTGTTCAACTGTTGATGACGTTGGCTGTATATCATACGTGAATCAAACTCTCGCGTGAACCAATTTTGATGACGGTTTGATGTCTCACGGCTGGAGGGGAAAATGATTTTTGTGAAGGATTCCTGCGGAGGAACTGGTTTATGAAAGGGCCTCATTTCCCGTCAGGTCTAGGTACATTTCCGAAATCGGGCTACAGTTGTTGAGAAAAGTAGCGACGGCAGGGCGTACCCTGCACTTTTTGTGCCGCAGCGGGGTTGAAGTGGGCGCTGACCAATGATATGGGTTCATTTCACGCTGCTGAACACAATGTATCCAGCTGAGTCGCTTTCCGACCAGGGTATACCCTGCTGTGTCGTTTGCCCTTGGTGAAGGGTATCAAGATCCAAGTTTGCTGGTGGGCGAGAAAGATTTTTGTATTCCCTTTTATCATCCTTCGGTGTTTGTTTCGTGTAGTGTGTTCGGGTCCATTTTCGAGCGAAGATTGCCTGAGAAGCGGTGATGTGCTGACCATTTCTCAGCAGTTTGTTGTGATCAACACATGTATGCTATGCGATATTCTATGCTTCGTCCTCGACGGCCGACAGTGCTTCCTCCGGAAGTTAAAAATATAGTGGTTCGTTGGCCCACCAAAAATCAATGACTTGGGTATTGTGGCTACTGGCGAGACTCATCGACGCGCTCGCCGCCGCCTTCTTGGCCAAGATGGCGTTCCGTTGTGCTCTTGCACTGGTCGATTTATCGTCGGCAAAAACTGCTCCAGAAGCCCTTCTTGAACCGCTTTTGATGGCTGCAGAATGTTGCAAGAAAAGTTAAAAAAGTTTTGGAACCTTTCTTGCAACTTTCCTAATGTACGCTCAGTATGGGCGCAAGAAGTAAAAGTTGCGCAAAAAGTGTTGAAACAGTTTCTCGGGAGAAAAAAGTTGCAATCTGGCGGAAAAGGTCTGCAACTTTGTTCGCTACGAAGGTGTCGAAGAAAAGTTGCGCGGCGCAACTACCGCCCACACACGTAGACCCTCTCCAGCTTCGATCGTGGGAAGGCTGTGATCACCGATATCTCGACGAATACTTAACGAGTGGCCTCATAAATGGTATCTGGAAGGAGGTGATGGCATGGGCTGTTGGGCAATGCCAAGGTTTGGGGCCGTGAGGTGCCGAATGCGCCGGGAAAAAAAAGTTTGTGCTGTGCACGACCGTCAACGGCCGCGAGCGGTTATTATAGTTCAAGTTCGGTGTTTTTTTACCGCTGCAGGTTTGGTTATCCACCGATAACTTTCCGAAGGAGGAAGCAACATCAATAGGAAGGCCACTCGGCGGGAAGTACCTCTCTGCTCCATCTGTTATGCCCAGAGTTTGGTTGGTGCCGTGGGGTATCGTGCACGTCGGGAAAAACGTTTTGGTTGACCCTCAAGTACCCACGTCAGAGAGCGATTGGTTCAAGTTTGCAGGGATTGTGTGCGCATGGTTTGGTTTTCCAGCGATAGATTTCCGAAGGAGGAAGCAACAGCAACAGCAATGCCACTCCGAGGGAGCTATAATAGCTCTACCCGGCATCTTTCTGGGACCAGGTTAGATTTCTTGGGGTATCGTGAGCGTGGAGCAAAAAAGGTTGCAACTACCCTCTCCCGCACGGTCTGACCGTTTTTTTCGCGGTGCGATATGAAAGGCGTGTGCCTTCTTGTCGCCGTTGCTAAAAAAAAAATCACGCCTCCGCGTTCCGCCAGCCCCGTGCACAAAACTCTCATCGTCCCATCATGAGCGTGCACCAAAAGTGTACTGACAAAAGTTCCCGATCGATGTTGCAGAAAACGTTTGCAACGTATTTCGCAACATTCTCCATCCATAAAAAGCGGTGTTAACCCCAAAGAAAGCTTTTCCGCAGAAAATTTCGTATCGCCACGAATTCTCCCCTGGAAACTCATCAAGCTTTGATCGAAAGCACGATGAAACACCACAAGCTGCAGCCGAACAACACCGTTGCGCCTGCCTTCTCCTGTCCATTACATCACGCCGCCGTTTGGTTCTGAGCTTAACGAGTCGCCGACGTCTGTCTCCTGCACAAACGGCAGACGTACAGACATCAAGCGCTCCTGCCCTCCTCTGCCGCCGCCGCCGCCGCGAGCTCCGCCTTTTTCGCGGCCTTCTCCGCCTGCGCGGCTTCCAGCACCTCGAACGCCGCCATCACCCTTGCAAACCTCCCCCCTCCCATTACATCACTGCCGAGAATCTCTACCAAACCCTCCTTTGCCGACGCCACCGCCCCCTCGCTGGTGCTTATGCCTCCCCTAGCCAGGTCCTCTAGGATTTCCGCTGCCTTGTCGTCCCTCCCGACCGCCGCCACCGCCGAAAACGCCGCCAGCGAGCACAGCTGGTCGCCCTTAATCCCGTCCTTCTTCATGCCTTCCAGCAGCCGGAGAGCGGCGGCGTCGTCGACTGCCGCGCGGCACGCCTGGAGGGCGCCACGGTAGCTGTAGCGGCATGGCTTGAGGCGACGGTTGCGGTGGCTGGCGGCGCGCATGGCATCGAGGAGGGCGACGGCGGGGTCGACCTGGCCGGCCCTGCCGCAGGCCTCGATGGCGTTGTTGTAGCTCCATCGGTCTGGGGGAGCGTCCGGGAACGTCCCTGGCGGTTGATGTTGTGCCGCCAAAAGGATGAACGGTCAACACGAACACACGGCAGGTACGGTGACAGCAATTCGTGAATCAAGCGAAAATGGATATTACCACCCTCAAAAGAACAAAAAAATTGTGGAGGACTAGCACGGTTGCCCGAGAAAAACGCAACCCTGAATTCATGCATGACACGACGGCAAACACATTGCGATGCGAGTGATAACCAAGTAGCACGCACCCATGAACGGATCAGATGTAAACACCTTGTGATGCTAGTGAGAAGCATTCAACAGCAACCGATTGAGCGTGAGCAGTCAGCTGTTCTTCACGCGACTGCACCAGAACCCCGGCTGTCGACCCCGCGATCGGGGGGCAAGGTTGGTGACAGAAAAACAAGTATGTGCCATTACAACCATTCCTCAAGCGGTACAACTCAACACCTCCAGCACCTGACTCCTTCCGCAAGAAAAACCGTATTCTAGGATTTAGACGAACGACCCGCAGTCGAGGTTAAGCCCGGAGAACCGCACAACAACACACGAGAACCGCCACCACAAAACGGAACGATTTCCTCCGCTCTGAACCCCCCCCCGCCCATATCCCAGGTTTAGGCCGGAGAACCGTCCAACAACACACGAGAACCGCCACCACAAAACGGAACGGTTTCCTCCGCTCTGAACCCCCCCCCGCCCATACCCCACCTGATCGCTGCTCGTCCAGAACCGTTATCGCCGTCTTCCAGTCCCCGACCTTCGCTAACCCCTGCAGCACGTGGTTGAAACCCTGCGTGTTCGGCTTAAGCCCAGCCTTCGGCACGTCCACCTTTAGGGTCCTCAGAGCCTCCTTCGGGTCGCCGGCCATGGCGCTGCCCAGCACCACCGCGTTGTAGCACTCCAGCGTTGGCCGATGGGCCTCGTCCGTGGCGCCGTTGTCGAGCTCCACGATCAGCGCGCGGGCGCGAACGCCCTGCCCCGCCCGGGCGCAAGCGTTTGCGGCGGCGGCGTAGGCCTCCGGCGGCGGAAGCCTTCCCCCTCTCGCCATCCGGATGTCCGTGAGCCAGTCCGTGGCTTGTTCCCAGGCGCCCTCCGTCACGCACGCCGAGATGGCGGAGGTGAGGACGTCGGCCATGGCGCTTGCGCTCGGTGTGGGGTCTAGCTCTCGGACCTGATTTTGTCGGGGTGGAACAAGGGGGGGGGGGGGGGGGGG